GTGAGAGTAATTTTGGAGTGGTGACTGAGAGCCGATTAGAGGTATTTCCATCGGCGCCACCTTCTGTATTCTCTCCACCGTGAGTATGAATAACTCGCAGTCAGAACTAGCACCGAGTCGCAATAGGGGTGAAGCACCATCGCAGCGTGCGGCACGCCAACAGCACAGCAATAGTCATACGCCAGCGCAACAAGTACCTCAACGCCAGCATTCATCGAGTGACACAGAAGCTGCAGTTCTAACCTGCTCCGCTAACGCATTTGAAGGTAAGCTGTTGTTTCGTATACTACCGGTCACTTTATATGGAAAGCACAAGAGCATCGACACATACGCATTGCTGGGTGAAGGTTCCTCAGTCACGTTTCTGGATAACAGACTAGCCCTGGAGTTGGGACTGCAAGGACAACAACAGCGCCTTAACATACAATGGTTTGGTGGTCGCTCAGCGCAAGAGCCTTCGATCTTGGTAAGCGTGTCCATTAGTGGATGCGGCATGAAGACGAAGCACACGCTTCGAAACGTGTATGCGGTGTCGAATCTACAGTTGCCTTCACAAAGTTTATGCAGAGCAGACTTACACTGTGACGACAAGTACAAGCGTCAGTTGCCAGTTCAGCCATACATCGGGGTGATGCCAAAGCTTCTCGTTGGTCTCGACCACTGCCACTTAGGCCTGCCGTCAACTACTTTGAAGATGAGAACATATGGTCCCTTCGCCGCCAACAACGAATCAACATACGAATCAACGAACATATCAATTCTGCGAGCGATGAATCCCTGCATGACCTGGTTGCTAGCTACTTTGCTGTCGAAAATTTCGGGGTGAGCTCATCACCAGCAATCGAGAGCACAGCTGACAGTCGTGCCAAGTCTATTTTAGATTCGGTCACACGTCGGGTTGATGGTAGATTCCAAACAGGTCTTATCTGGAAGCGAGATGACTTCTATCTGCCTAAGAGTTACTTCATGGCGATAAAGAAACTTGTGGGTATCGAGAGGCTCATGAGCCGAGACGCAGGCTTCGCAGCAGCTTACAAAGCAACGATGGACTCCTATATTGCAAAGCGGTATGCACGAAAGCTCGACCCATCGGAAGCCTCAGTGGTAAAGCCTCACACTTGGTATTTACCACATTTTGTCGTGGTGAATCCCAATAAGCCATCGAAGATACGTATGGTGTTCGACGCGGTAGCTGAGGTCAACGGCGTCTCTTTAAACTCCGTGCTGCTGAAGGGTCCGCAAGAGTATCTGTCTCTGCCGTCGATTCTCTTCCATTTTCGCGAAGGAGCAGTCGGAGTATCTGGGGACATTAAGGAAATATTTCACCAGGTATTGATGCAACCCGAAGACAGGTGCGCCCAACGATTTCTTTGGCGCAACGGCGATAGTAGTAGGCAATCGGACGTATACCAGATGTGCGTTATGACCTTTGGCGCTGCTTGCTCGCCATGTGCAGCGGACTATGTCAAAACTGGAAACGCGCTCGAGCATGGCATTAATGTCACAAGCCGAGCGGTGCAATCAATATTGGCCTACCACTACGTCGACGACTTCGTTGATGCTTTCGACTCGCCTGCAGAAGCCATCTCCATCGCGCAAGAAGTTCGAGCCATTCATCTGGACGCCGGTTTCGAGCTCCGAAATTTGGCTTCATATTCGCCAGAGGTAGTTGCAGCTTTGGGTGGCGCAGAAGTCCCGAAATTAATTGCTAGCAAAGAAAGTCTGGCGACTGAGAAGGTCCTCGGTCTATATTGGCAGCCGTCAACAGATGAATTTCAATTTAATTTGCATTTTAACAAAGTTGACCCTCAAGTAGTGAACGGTGGCAAACGCCCAACCAAACGTGAACTCCTAAGCGTGGTTATATCAGTTTTGGACNCGATGGCGCAAACAATTATTAGCCGTCACCAAATACGCCATTCCCAGGTTCTACTTTTGCAATGGTAAGCCCAAAGATTTGCAACTCCACATTTTTGTGGACGCCAGCGAGGACGCGTTCGCCGCCGTCGCCTACTGGAGGGTAGTCAACTATGAGAAGGAGGTGAGTGTTAGTTTCGTATGCGCGAAGACTAAGTGCGCTCCGCTGAAACCGCTCACTATACCGCGACTAGAGCTGCAAGCAGCCGTCTTGGGAACCCGCTTAATGCAGACAATTCGTGAAGAGCACTCCGTCGTTGTAAATGATTGCCTTCTTTGGAGCGACTCTTCAACAGTGATGAAATGGATTCGCAGTTTGCACCGACGATACAAGCCCTTCGTACAGAACCGAGTGGCTGAAATACTAGCATCTACAAGCGTCTCCGACTGGAGGTGGATACCCACTGCGCCGACGAAGCCACACGTTTCAGCAGTCAAGTCGACTTTACCCCAACTGCCCGCTGGATTCAGGGTCCACCATTTCTACGCCAAGAAGAGTGCTACTGGCCCACTGCTGAGATCAGCATCACTCAATAGGGAGAACTCGATGAGGAGCTGCGACAAAAATATGCCATGGTCATCGTGAGTAGTCGCCTTTTAGATTTTGATCGTTTTTCTACATTCAACAGATTGGTGAGAACGGTAGCTTGGGCTCTTCATTTCATCAACCTATGTCGCCATCCTAACTCAGCCAAACGTCGCTATGGCCTGACAGCACCTGACGTTGAAGCAGCGAAGCTACTCATATGCCGCCTTGTACAGAACGAACATTTTGGCCCCGAGATTGAGCGTATTACGAAAGTCCGAGAAGTCTCACGCAACAGCTCACTACGTCAGCTATCTCCATATGTTGACGAGAAAGGTACGCTTCGTGTTTGTGGACGTATTGACGCAGCTAGTTGGCTTCCGATGAGCGCCACGCGAACATACGCTCAACTGTTTCCTGATCGAGGCTGAAAATGTCATCAATTCGCGCCCACTTACTCACTANATGCCGCCTTGTACAGAACGAACATTTTGGCCCCGAGATTGAGCGTATTACGAAAGTCCGAGAAGTCTCACGCAACAGCTCACTACGTCAGCTATCTCCATATGTTGACGAGAAAGGTACGCTTCGTGTTTGTGGACGTATTGACGCAGCTAGTTGGCTTCCGATGAGCGCCACGCGAACATACGCTCAACTGTTTCCTGATCGAGGCTGAAAATGTCATCAATTCGCGCCCACTTACTCACTAGCCAATTTCGGTTGACCAGGAGCAGCCGCTAACACCCAACGATTTTTTGTTAGGATGCGATAACACAGTGCTAACTCCAGTTGCAGCTGATGTACTAGAAGGTACATGTGCCTTGCGTCAACAGTGGCGTATTGCCCGACAATTAAGGGATCACTTCTGGAAGCGTTAGGTATCGGAATATTTGCCTACATTAATGAGGCGAGTTAAATGGTGCGAAAGGACAACGCCATTAAAGGAGGGTGATCTCGTCTTTATTTGCGATCCCAATGTGCCGCGTAGAGAATGGGAACCTCCACCGGCATCAAGCAGCGTGCTGTTTCCAAGGTTGCCGTCTTGGATGTTGAAGTGGGTGAATCGGACCGATCCACGGGGGCGGGGATGTCACCGAACGCTCCCTTTATTGGTAAATAATTGATGGAAACTACGTTTACACATCTTTAGTAAGATGCACATCTGCAGCTATTAGTCCATAATTTCATTTCTTGCGTATTCTTTGTAATTGTTCGTGTAAAAATTACTGCAGTGCGCCATTCTCCTTTGCTCTTTGTATGCATATTCGCTTGAGCCTTCGTGTAAAACCGTTTGCGCAATGGAAATAAAAGGTTCCCACCACCATTAGCGCGTACAAATATTTTGTTAGCCGTCGTCAAGCAAAGGAGAAGGACACGCTGCGGTGAGTATATTTGCGTTTAAAATTGTCAAACTGTGAATCTTATAAATTCCTTTACATAGAAGTAAACCGCGCCATATTTTATCGAGCCCGATTTTTAGTTAAATTCGCCAGCGTTTTATTAGTGGATTCGGCGGCTAACAAACACAATTAGGTGAGTTGATAGGCAGGTCTAATGTTCTATTCAATTGGAAGTAAGATTTTCAACATCGATTTTTCCGATATCGATATTGTTCAGCCCGATATATCGCCATATTGATTTTACATGCAATGAACTAAATCGATTCATGCTATCGATACTTTCTTAAATATCGAGCATTCCTAGTTCGGACTGACAACGAAAACACTTTGAAAACGAGTTTTGGGATTGTGGGCTGAAAGCTGTTCGCACCGGCTGTTAGTGTTTTCGTTGACATTTCTTTCATCCTTTGTTTACAGTTTAGCTACGAAAAAACCAAATCAAAATCTTTGTCTTTCATTTTCTTATCATTAGCAACCTTTTTCTTTTGTTCATATTTTAATTTGGCCAACCAATTAACAATAAAACCGAATTGGCATATTAAACATGAGAAAATATGACACTTCGATAAATAATCAAAAAAAGTTGAGCAGACACTAGTTGCGTTCCTTTTCTCCCAGAAATAGTCAGAAAAAGTCCGAAGTAGTCAGATGTAGTCCAAAAAGCGTTCCTTAACTCGAATATGTTAGCAAACGTCAAGCTGTGAAGTTCTACTTATATTGTGCTCTGATTTGTCTTTGTATTTTGCAAAGTTTATTGTGCTAATTCTGTGTAAAAGTTGCTATAAAAAGTGCCTACGAGCATCTTAGTGTGATAATAATCGAAGCTAAGTGAAAGTTTTGTGATTTTTGTGGTTTATATTAAATTTAATTAAATTTCACTAGCATACATCTAATCTTGCCTAGTCATTTGTTGTTATCATTGTTGTTGTAATTCCTTTGTAGTTAACTGAGATCGTTTCTATTTTTGCACATTTCTTTTTGCTCTTTTTGTTTACTTCTTTTAGTATTTCTTGTCACAGCTGTTTGCGTTGCGTTTATTAAGTGTCACAATACAGTGATACTCAAACTGTTCGCTACATATATTTTTAAGCTAAATACATCAGCTCCTAAATTGTTGTGTGTGTTGTGTTAA